CTAGGTAGTTCTGGAAAAGTAAATGTCCAACCCAGAGTCTCTCTCTTTGTCCAGTCCAGAGGCCTAACTCACCACTTAAGGCAATGATCTTTTCTACATCTCCAGATGTTCATGCTTGAGCCACTTAAATAACTAGCAGGCTTTGGGGATGAACTCTCAAAGGGCTTTGCTGTTCATGGTTCCTGCCTATAGTAAGGACTGGCTGAGGCCCTGCTATTTGTGATGCAAGATGGAAGTAAATAGGCCCAGTTCACAGCTTCAGGGATGGTATCCCAGAAATGGATGGCTTCCTCACCAACAAAGAACTGGATTATTTTAATTTCATTTCCTGTCTTTACCTTACATTGTCTTTCTCATAGAAACTCCTAAAGACAAGATGAGAAAAACTGATTTACATAGGAAAATTTGCACCTGACCACAAATGTCAAGCCTGGGACTGTATAGAGCAGTAATAGGACCAAGTGATTCAGACACAAGGAACAGTCAGTGTGCAGTTCAGGATGAGAATGGACTTTATTTCCAGGGCAGGTGCACTGAAGTTTATTCCTTTGCCAATTTACCTTCTCCCCCTTTCTTCTTCTTCCCTTCCTTCTTTCCTCTCCTCTCCTCACACCTCTCCTTTCTGAATATCTGAAGACACAGTAATCACTAAAACACAAGATAGAAAAAACTTTACTCATATACAAGACACACATTGCACGTGCTGGGAACACAGGCATGCTACATAAGGAACATAGAATACCAGTTCGCATCAAGACTTGAACTTACGTATTAACTACACTTTCACTGTAAGAAAACGACATAGAAACAAGCAGAATCATATGCACCTGAAGGCTTTCAGATACAGGGAGTAATGCTCAGCCCAGCGCCCCTGTGTCTACACCCCCCATGGCTCCTCTAAGGGTCTCAAGATTAAACAGCTGGCAGCCAACTTTGTGTATGTGCATGTAAACAAGAGGGCTCGGCTTTAAATAATTATGTCAAAGAAATGACAACTGTGCTCTTTGCCAGAACAGGGATGAATAATTACAAAGCCAGGACATAATTAAGCAATTGTGACTGTCGGGATGTTGAGCTGCTTCTCTGATGTGCAGGCCTGGTGTGTCGCCATACGCGCCCTCCTGGTCGGTCTTCTGTGCTCCTTTGATCTTCATTTCCCAGTGCAGCAATGGGATTGTGGTTGGTCATTCTAGATGCCTTTCATTGTGGGTCCTGAGCTTCTCAGTGTCTACTTCAGTGCTTGTCCTATTGACAATGGCTTGATTTGGCGGCCAATATTCGACAAAGATAGATATTTTCTTTAAAGTTCTAGGAAATGAGTAAATCCTAGCTGTTGCAGGACCATTAAATGTTCATACACACACATACACACACACACACACACACACACACACACAGAGAGAGAGAGAGAGAGAGAGAGAGAGAGAGAGAGAGAGAGAGAGACTGAGACTCATACAGAGTGTGCCTGTGTGTCCGAAAAAGTCCACTGGAACATTAGCTATCAGTTTCTCACAAATGACAGCATCCTTCCATAAAACAATTCAAACTTGGAAGAAAGACAGCTGTGAATCAACAAAAGGCCAAGAGCAGTCACAGAGGCAAAATGTATCATCAGGAGCAAGAGCTAGAGAGAACTTGGCCTCGAATGTCCAGGCCTGCTAGGTACCAAGGCAGACCTCGGTGACACAGGAGAAAGGAGGTTGTTTGGTTCCTGGACGGCTTTGCATCTGCGTCAGCCGAGAACACCCATACTGCCTGTTCCCTGCCTTGAAGGCAAGGGCTGTGATTGGAGAGGCATTTTCCTTTCTCCCAAATACTTTATGTCAGGAATAAAATGAAAACAGTTCCCCAAATCACAACCTCCTTGATCATCCATCAGAACTTTGTGCTGAATAAGCACAACAGGCCCTGCTGCCCCAAAAAGGACAGAGGACAACTCGAGATTCCCATTCTGTTATGAAAAATAGGTCTTCAGCAAGTGTGCACAGCGCAGCTCCAGCAATTTGAGAGAAGGAAATTGCTCCACACTTAGAAGCTGACTCCAGGTGTACACATGCCTCCCTGAACATACATATGTATATATACAAAGTGATAGTAGGAAGGATATATATATATATATATATATATATATATATATATATATGCATAGGACACTGTTGTGTCTG